TATTATATTCTAATAGATAATGAAATAATTATACAACATCACCATAATGTAGAGTCAGTGGGAGCCCTGAGCTTGTTTTCTTGCAACTAGACAGTCCCATCGGGGGTGATGGGAGATAGTGACAGATCATCAGGCATTAGATTCTCACAAGGAGCGCACAACCTAGATCCTCAAACGTGCAGTTCACAAAAGGGTTCACGATCCTGTGCGACTGTAATGCCATTGCTGATCTGACGGGAAGCAGAGCTCAGGCGGTAATGTGAGTGATGGGGAGGGTCATAAATACAAATGAAGCTTTGCTCACCTACCGCTCACTTCCTGCTGTGCAGCCCAGTTCCTAACAGGCCACAGACCAGGTGTGGGGACTCCTGCCCTAGAAGGTCAGGCTGACCTGACTTTCCCTTGACCATTCACCAGCCAGCCTGGTCCCGGGCAATGCAGAGCTTCACAGCACAGACTTTGCACTACACTGGTGGGGCTGAGACCGTGGTCTACCAGCTGCAAGTTACCAGGCTCCCTCTGACGTTCCTCACCTGGGCATCTCCCCCAACAAAATCCTGGCACTTTTAATCCCCTCTTGGCATCTGCTTCTCAGAGGCCCTGGACTGGCGCATGAGGCTATTCAGATGGGATGTGAACTGTCAGAGAGCTTGGCAGGAGGCCCTTTGGAGTCCCACAGAACAACTCAGGAAACGGGGGCTTCCCTGACCCAATGTCCTGTGTGGAGGCCCCGGGGGCAGGCATTGTAAGCCTCCCCACCGGTGTGGGCTGAAAACATGACTTTGACTCTCGCAATCCAGCAGACTGCTGTGGAAATACAAACACATACACAGAAACATGTGCCTGCCCCAGGTAAGCATTCATCCTCACAGAATAAATCCGAAGCAGGGAGAAGAAGTGTTTTTCAACTACCTCATTCATTTGCAAGGCAGGTACCTTTTGCACAAAGGAGCCAGAATGTCTCATTATTATGCAGACTAGGGAGTTATCTTACCTTCATCCCCTACTCCTTGCCCCCTACCTTCAAAACTGGGCCCTTTTGGACCTGCTGGGAATGAGAAAGAGGCCTGTTGCTAAGCAACGGGGAAGGCAGGGGATGCATTCTACCTGTTCCACAAATCCTAGTCTTAAAGCACAAGCGATAGCATTTGCCCTGATGGAATCCTACACCTTCCAGTACCCCAGCGGGATGCGCTCTCAGTCCTTCCTCCTAACCACTGTCTTCACGGAGAAATTCTGCTCCTGCTCTGGCCCCTGGCAACCGCTTCACTACCTCTGTAGCCATCAGACAGCCTGAGTCCTCCACGGTGGGACGGTGTGTGACAATGAGGAGACAAGCCAGCTCCTCTTCCCCTGACTCTGTCCAGCCCCTCTGTGCTGTGTAGCCTCACTGGGTTCCCAACACTGATGAGTTTATGCATCCAACATTTACTCCTCAGACTGGACCTGGAGCCTCCCGCCTCTGGACCTGAGCAAAGACCAGAGTCAACAGATGGTTTTCTTTCCCTTTCTCTTAAAGAAGTTTGGAACATTTGAAATACATTATCCTATTCATGACTAATACTCCAACAGGAGTCATTCAGATAAACAAAAAGCCTTTGCAGGTGCCTGTCTGATTTAGAGGATGGTAGCACATTCCCATTCACACAACAGAGGGGCTGGGCGCCTTTGAAAGAAGACCTGATGTGCGAGGCTGGAAACAGGAACACTGGTTGAAAGTGCCTTTAGGAAACAGACTCCCCAGCCTAGGGTTTGAGGTTGACTCTGGAGAAACCCAGGAAGGGTATGGATTTGGGTTCTGCATTACTTAGGGTAGGGGGCAAGGCATATCCTGGAGACTGAGGGGGTTGTGTGAAAATCTGCGCACAGGATGACTGACCCATGACTCCCTTCCTCTACTCAGCATGCAGGTGCCTCATTCCAGCCACGAAGGAGGACTCTTTAGGGAAATCGAATGGGCTGAGAGGAAAGACCTCCCAGTACTGATGCGTGGGTGTTCCTCCACCTGGCAGCACCGAACGCAGCCCTCTCCCTCACAGCTTCCAATGAGCTGACTAGGGGCACTTTCTTAAATGACAGGCAGCCAAGGGTCACCACACATTTGAGGAAAGGCTTTCACATGAAAAAGAAAGGTCAAGGCAAACACAGAAAGGAAACGAGTAAGTAGAGGCATAGCAGGGGGCAAGATAATTTTCTAAAACCCTCAACTACCTTCAGAGAGAAAAGATGATATTATAGATGTCAAACAAGAAGCTAGAAAAAAAGACTCCAAGAACAAGAACGAGCACTTGGAAATTTAAATATTAGAGCAGATAAAATGATCTGAAAACAAAGCTAGGAAAATCTCCCAATATTCTTTGTTAAGGGACAATAATAGGGGAGAAAACATAAGAAAAGGATAGAATCCGTGCAGGAGAGTCAGCATTCACAGGATGATAGGAGGTGGCAGCCGTGAGAACGTACCTGGCCAACTGGCAGCTGCAGCTGCTGAGGCCCTCCACAGCCTCTGCTCCACGACACACTCTGGGAGCTGCTCCTGGTCACTGAGTGAGGCAGAGCACCAAGGCAGGCCAGTTCTTGGAAGAGGTAGGCTCTCTGATGGGGCTTCAGCTCCACGACAGCTGTCCCCTACGAGATGCACCCTCCAATCCTCCCTCCCTCTCTCCTTTGCAGGGTTCAGATTTGCTACCCCAGCCCGCAGCCTCCCTTAGATTCCTCACCACACTCTCTCACCACCATCTTCCTTAACAAAATCCTCTCATGTTTCATCCTGTCCTGGCATCTCCTTCCTGGAGGACCCAGACTAGTACTACAAGTTCCAGAAAGAAAGAACTGAAAAAATAAAAGGGAGAAATTGTGGAGGAATTGTATATATTATTTTAGTTTCTCAAAATGAAGGCCACAAGATTCCAAATTGAAAGAGCCCACTAAGAACTCTGAACAAAAAATGTCAACCACATCAAGGCAATCTCATAAAACTTCAAAATATTGGAGATAAAGCAAGAGAAATATATTGCACATCAATGATTATGAATAATTGTTCACCAAAAGGGTACTTGAATCCCCAACAGCCACACAGGATGCTACAAAAAACAGTGGAGCATTTTCAAATTGAAATGTTGAGGGAAAATAATTCTATACCTAGACTAACCCTCAATTAAATGTGCAGGTGGAATAAAGACCATTTCAGATATACAAGGTTCAAATTACCTCTTCCAGACCATTTCCTAGGAGATGACTAGAATATGCATCCACTAAAGAAAGGGAAGAACCCCAGAAAGTGGGACACAGGAAATCCCAGACACATGGGCTCCCACACAGGCAAGAAGCAAAGGGGCTTGCCTGGGTGATGGTGAAGGGCCACCCTGCAGGACATCTGCCCAGCTGACCGCGAGAATAGCCAGCAAGGAGAGGTGGCCACCTCTCAGGAAAATGGGACAGACTGAATTGCCCATATGTGTTAAGAGGGTGTTCATGGTTCTGAAAGAGATTTTCAGGATGAATCAGTGATAGACATATAGAGAACTATGTAAACACGAAAAGGAGAACATTGTTAACTCCACTAAATGCAAGCAATTTTAAAGGAGAGAAAATGTACTTATAATACCCTAACTTGCTTCAGTTGTGAACAATATTAGAGTTATCGGAATGCAACATTGAGTATTGATCTAATAAAATGTCTGATCTAGCTA